CTATTTTCATCAGAGGTGATGTAAACATGGGAAGGAAATGAAAGAACTGGACTCCTGGAATCCAGCCAAGAGATTAGGAAGCAGCTCCAGCCAAATATGTGAGCTTTGCTTTCTCCTGCTGTCAAGTTCTTGAAGAAACATGAAGGACTTTGCAAATGTCCTGATTGAAAACAGTGACTTCACTCATCTGCCCCTGTGGAGTTCAGCACGTGAAGCTATTCGCGGCACGGGGAGGACCACGGGCTGCCTGCCTGCCATGTCGCTCTTAAAAAGAGGACCCTCTCCAGAAAAAAAGAGCCGGCAACTCAGAGTGAGCACCAACACCCAGGCAAGCAAACGCGCACTTGTCGGAACTAAGCACTCACGCTAAGAACCTTAAGGCCTGGATGGGAGGGTTAGTCCCTGTCGTTTCTCCCACATTTAGGTTTTCTTAAAATGGCAATTTCTTTTTGTCTGACATTGGAGAACGTTGCAAATTTTGGAAAATGCATCAATCTCGTATTGAAATGAAATTCTTACCCAAAGGCCTGTGTTCCACTAATCTCTTATGCCTCTGCTGACTAAGCCTTCAGCAGGAAGCCTGAGGCTAAGTCCCCCTGGTCCATCTTGTCCAGTATTGTGTGTTTGATTGACAAGGACTCTGCAGGGCTTCAGATGGGAACAGGCATATCTGTAGTTTTGGTTCTGCTCTGTTTTTCTCTGCCCCAAACAAGTTCCAAAACTGGTTTTTATACCTCTGCATCGAGATTCATGCACATCACTCCAAAGCCTTGCCTTTTTGCATGCAATTCTGCCAAATTATAGCTAGCTAGGTAGATATAACAAGAATTTTCGTAATGCAATGCATTGCTGAATGATATTTTCACTGTGTGCAATTCTAAATGCATTTCCAATTAGAGAGGTGCAAATTCCATTTATTTTTTTTTTTACATTTCTATGTTGTTGTTGTTAGTTGCGAAGTCATGTCTGACCTATCACGACCCCAGGGACAACATTACCCAACTACCAAAGCTCCCTCAGTTGTTCCTAACGATTAAAATGATAAATTTGATTTGAGAAACACTACAGCAGTTTAAACTATAGTATAAAATAGAAGTCCAAACCAAAGTCAACCTGTAGCAACAATGCAAAGACTAAAATATGGCAACAGATTTAAACCAATAGAAACTGCACAAAGTAGGCACTGAAAGTACTCCGGAAGAGGTTTGCATTTCCAAGGCTATTTCATTTCACGTATTGGTTCAAAAGGGCAAAATGGGGAAAGGATTTCTCCGACATCCTAACTGTGGGCAGGGAAGGGTCTTTCACATCACTTGCGGTCTGTTCTAGCCAGCATTTCCGTGTGGAACCCTGTGCATGCGAAGAGGTGCTTTGCCATTGTTCATGTAACGCTGCAAATGCACCACCGCATTAACCGTGAGTGGAAAGTCTGGAATTTGCTGCACCATTCACTGTGCCCACCTGTGTCATGACCAAATTGAGGCGACGGCAGGAAGCGAATGGGGGGTGGGATGCCACGCGTGGGAAAGGCTCTTGCTGTTCATCTCTTGGCTCCACCAGTGTGAATTTAAAAGCACAGGAGAACTTCTGGGTAAGGCATCGTGGCCCCCGTGGGATGCAAAGTAGGCCTGATATCTGCTCTGTTTTAAATCAGTCCTGCCTTGCGTCCTTCTCAGCAACCGCATTTACGGTAGTTTATCACATGATGTTTTTCCTAGCAGGGAGGTAAAGTGATACAGCCAAATTCCTGTGACCCAGGAGGCATAAAAATGAGAGCAACAAACAGGATCACATTAATGTAAACCAGTTTCATTTTCCAACCTTTCCACCTTAGTGAAAAGAAAAAAGAAACCGAAACTCAGTGTGACATGCAGAAGTAGGAGATCCTTGGCACAAGAAGGGTTTCAAAATAGCAAATTCAGTGTCCCTGGGCTACCAGGATTGGTGCCAAAGAGGGACCACTGAGAAATAAAAGAGAAATGTTAACATGCTTGTAAGAGTAGCAGAAAACTCTTTAAAAGGTGCAAACCTTTGCATGTTCAAACAGGATGTTTAGTCTTACAGCTTCCAGCATGGCTTCCTTCCTTCCCACAGGGCTGTGTTCTGTTTGGATACAAAAAGGATTGCATCCAAAGAAGAAACAGGCTCCCCTAAAAGAGTACAGTGGAACTGAGCAGCTTCAGTAGTGATGAAATGCTGACAGTCCATTCGAAATACAAATGGAAGTGGGATGGAATGGAGTATCCTGGAAGAACACATGCTTAGGGGCTAGAAACTTGAGCAGGAGCACTCCTGCTAGAAGGTAAGGATGCACTGCAACATTCTGTTGCAGTTCCCATTGGTAATAATGTTTAGAGACAGGGAAGCCACAATCTCCTTGGCAAACTCAGCCAACTCGAAGCACCTACACCTACTGGCACCTACTTGTCGGAAGCCGTGTATAGGATTGCACTGGCCATTTATTCCCGGGGATTATGGGTGGGGCAGGAGAAGAACACCCCAGGAGTGGAGGGGACTCCAGGCTGGACAGATTTGCACCACAGACCTGAGATCCTACACTCCTGCACCACCAAGAGCCGTGCAGAAAAGAGGATTGTAGCAGGGCGGCTCTGCTGAAGCTGCGTGGCCTGACCTGCCGCACTTGCCAGAAGGCCCCAGGACCGACCCCCCACCCGCCACCCCCTGCAATTCAGCATCAGCAGCCTGAGAGAAACTAAGAGCCCATTGTTTTAATCAGCACAGCTCTACAGAATTCTAGAGAGAAAACGTGACCGCAGAACTCAATCCTCTTCCTATTTAGCATTCATTTGAAGTCAGCCACATGCTGTGTGTGGCAGAGAACAACCGTGTGATGCCCAAAGCATGCCTGCCTGCCTCCCTCCCTCTTCTGGGCCTGACATGCGATTGTGTGATGCCTTCCACCAACACCGCAACTGCGGGCAGCTCAGCCTACGACAACAGGAGCTGCAGCTCCCAAAGCCAATGTTCAAAACCGAAGTGAGCGGGAGTTGTCAAAACTAGCCTGATCTTTTTCCTTATGCTGTTTGAACTATGTTGTGATCCCGTCCCTCCGCCACGGCACCTGCAGATGAATTAATTGGTAGCCAGAAAAGCGACCGCGTACACAACGGCAACTGGAGATCACATGCCCAAATGAGAAAACGTCCGTGCAGGCAATTTGCATCTCAAAACCCTCTGCTTTGAAGGCAGAAGTTCGACATTCCAGTTTCTAAGGCTGCTATTGTATGCCCCCCCCCCCGCAACACTGGAATTACTTGGGGTCTCAGCTTTCAGGTCCTGCAGCTCAGGGCAGGGGCTCCAAAGACCAAGCCCCCTCTCCACCCTCTTTGCAGCTGGTGTGGAAGGAGCCATACTGGCTGTCTCCCCCTGATCCCTGCTGTGCCTTAGAAGTGAGAAAGAGGGGTGTCCCAGGGTGGGACGTGGGGGAGGCCAGGGCTGAGGGCTCACCCTGGTTCCTACTGGTGCTTTGCTTCCCTTTCCCTGCCCCTCCCTATTGCGATGGTCCAAAATTCTTATAAAAATAAAGTGAAACCACATTTCCCACCCATCTGCTTTGGCCAAATCCCACAATCCTAGATAATTTCATTTAGATCGTGCCTGCCTGCTTTGCATTTCTCCACATTGAGGGCTCCGTCTCAGCAATGCACTAATATGGTTGAATACACCGAGATGCAACCTCAGGTGCTAAGAGCTCAAAGTCCCATTTTTGAAAGTCTAAAGACCATCTAAACATGGAGGAATGCATGAAATCTGGTAAATTCCTATCAGAAACAAACAGGGATGAAACTCTCACCCACGGCAGTGGATCGCCTCACCGAGTGGATGTCCATATATGATGAGAAAAGTTGGAGACAGTGCTGACAAATGCGATTCTGTCTGGTTTTTCTCTAGGCCCAACATTTGTACCAAGACGACCTGTGCAGTTGCTTTCTCAAACTCCGAAAACCACATATGGGTCTGTGATCTATTGGTGATATGAAAAGGGGGACCGGCCTTCCCAGGTCTCAGGAAAGGCAAACTATGGGAGGGTGGGAGGTAGGGGCAAGGGCAGGACCTTTGACGAAAGCAGGTTCATCCATTTTGCAGGGGCTTTGAAGCGCAACTTACATGCAAGGTTCTGAATTTGGATCCATCCCTTGCCCTCTGGGATGTTTTGCGTTCTATCCAAGTCAAGATTCTATGGGCTTCTGGCCCTGTTTGCCAGGAAGTGTCGGATTATTCAGAAACCCTGGGGCTCTGAGGGACCAGGAGCCTGACCTGCCCTCCTTGCAGTGAGCACAGAGAGGCCTGTCCCTCGCCTCCCCAATTCCTCCTTTTGGCAGCAGGTAAGAGAAGGAAGCACGTGGCTCCATGGAGCATTGGGGGCGGGGGCGCGTGGTGCAGCTCTGAGGACACCACTGGGCCACAAAGAGGTGGGAAAGGGCTGTGCCTGGGGGAGAGGAAGTTGGATTGCACCAGCTTGCACTGGTGCTCGGACCGCCTTCCGTCACCCTCCTCGGCACTGCACCCAAGCGGAAATGGCCGGAAACGGCTGTCTGGGTGGAAGCACAGCGCCCAGCGCACGGCAGCTGGCGTGACTTGCTTCGCGAACTGGATGTGCGGAAGCTTCCAGTGTTTGGAGCAGTTTGAGCATCTGCAGTGGAGAGCGCTGGACGGTGCCCCCGAAGAAGCACAACGTGGGTCGACCACTGGGCCCATAACCCGGACATGACATCAAACCCTCGCATCAAAGGCACACGCCTCATTGTATGAAAAACAAGAAGCAAAAGGAACCAGTGGAAGGTTCAGATCCTCCTAGAGAAGCTGGGCGTGTTTCTTTAGCGATCCTCAGCTCCCACGGGATGAGAGCCCCCCTCGCTCCGTGCTGAGAGGGCTTTTGCTCTTCGGAGCAGCCTAGAAATATCACAGCCCCGTCCGCATTCAGTGCTGCCTCTATGAAGCCCTCCCGCCCCGTCACAGCACCCCAAGCCACGACTTACAGAACGTTCCCAATCCGGAATGGCCTTTTCTTCGTATCAGATCCCGGGGTTGTATCTCGGGGGGTCCACGTTTTAGAGTGTTCAACGGCGGAGACTGGCTCCACTCCACTCCTCGCTCCTAGATCTGTCTCTCTCCCTGGCCCCTCGCGGCCGATTATATCAGGGGCTTGCGAGCTATGTTGGGAAGATGAAAAGGGTGGTCTATTTTTAGGGGGCAGGCAACTTGCTATTCCATCAGGCTGAGTCAATCACAATTCCTCGTAACCTTGACTGGGAGAGGGAATTTCTGAGACGCAGAGCAAGCTTGCCATGCCAAGAAGACGTGCTCAGTCAGTGACCTCTCTCTGGAAGGGAAGGTGCTCGATTTCCAAAAAACCATTCAGGGATTGGGAACGCTCCCCTGAGTCACACTCAAGAGTTGTTGTGTCATGATGACACCGCCGTCATCCGCTGACGGCACGTCATCTGCCTTGCAGGAGGCCGAATACGTATTTTGAAAAAGATCCCTGCCTACGGCTCGAGCGAGCCGAAGCCAAATTTCAGCCCATTGACATAAAAAAGTGAATGGGGAAGAAAGCAACACTTTAGCTTTGGAAAAGGAACAAGCAAACAGAAGGGGTGAATTTTAGTGGTTCCCTTCTTCATTCAAGGTTCTAGCACTGCTGACCATGAGCCCTGTTTAATTTCGCAAGGGCTGCCACACGGCCCGGGAATCCCGGAGTTTCAAGATTTATTTATTTAAAACATTTCTATGCCGCCCCATCACAATAAGCCTCGGGGCGGCTCACAACATCAAAAAAGTCAACCATACATTAAAACCCCCAATACAATAAACCCCCCAATACCATAAAACCTCAATAAAACCTCAGTGCATTCTCAGCTAAAAAAAAAAAAACCTAGTTAAATAAATAAATTAACCATTGAAATAAGTTTTAAATAAAAAGGTCTTATCCTGGCGCCGAAAAGCAAATAAATAGGAGCATCTTAACCTGCAAATGGAAGAGGTTGAGGCAGGTACTTTCCCATGAGGGAAAGTCATGTCATATTGCTGGAAATAGGCAGTGCAGTGCCTCTGAAGAGTTATAAAATAAAATAAAATAAAATAAAATAAAATAAAACAAAATGCAAAGAAATCCAATGGAAGAGGGCAGGGTTGGTAATGTAGGTCATTCAAAATCATAGGGAGGGCGAAATCTGTCCAGCTCAATTCTGCCAAGTTTCTCATTTTTCCTACATTTACAGTCCTGTTTCTACTTTATTTTTTTCTTAAAACTCATCTTAAAATTCATACATATTTCATACACGTGGTAGGCATGTCGTGAGTGGAGCTGGCTGGAGCCAGGGGTCATACTAGATGGCCCTGGAGACCCCTTCTGACTCGCCCTGTTTCTAAGTTTCTATGCACCTTTCTCAAAAGGCAGATTCCAGACTGATCTTCGCATCCCTACTCATGTTGTAAGTATTTTTCAAATTTTATGCATTTCTCCAGGCAATTTTCCCTGATAAAGTCTTCCTGCATACACTTTTCTGTAATACATACATTTGTCTATACATTTTGGGTGTGTGCACATGCAAAGCTTTGAACTGTATGGACATTAACTTTTAACTGTGCTTTGGAATGGGTGGGGGTGGTATAAATTTGGTGCATAAAATGGGAATGGAAAAAAACATTCTCCTCTCTACAGAATAAGGCAGAAAGTATGTCACAGGCACTTTGCCAGGTAACACAGAATAATGACACTACAGTGCTTGTGACACAGGGGTGACCAACTTCTCTGGAGCATCTCTGGGCCAGGAATCACTGCTTCCGTTGACGGGCGTCATCCGGAACAGGATCCAGTGGTCTGGGAAATGCTGCTTTCTCAACAGCGGGTCATCAGTGCTTTGGAATGCATTCCCATCAGTGTGCGGATGACACCAGCGGTATCTCTTTTTCGTCTTCAGGCAGGTGAGGCTGCAGATGGGCTAAGCTGGTGTCTGGCTGGATAATGGGCTCGTTAATGGCTAGCAAGCACGCTTAAGCCAGACAAGCCCAAGATGCTGTTAGTGGTGGGTCTTCTGACTGCACTGAGGGAATTCCACCTGTTCTGGGGTCACATGCCCCTCGAAGGAGCAGGTTTGTAGCCTGGGAGTGCTCCTTGATCCATCTTCGTCACTTGAGGCCCAACTGGCCTCAGTGACTCAGAGTGCCTTTGAGTGTGGCTGATCACTCAACTGTGCCCCTTTCGGGACAGAGCTAGCCTGCTTTCAGCACTCTATGCTCTGGCGATTCCTGAACTAGACTACTGCAATGCATGGTACATGGGGCAGCCCTTGAAGACTGTTTGGAAGCGGCAGCTTTTGCCGAATGCGGCAGCCAGACTATTAACAGGGACCAGAAGTCCTGCACATACCACCCCTGTTCTGGCTCACTTGCACTGCCCGCCCATGTGCTTCCAAGGCCACGTCATGGTGCTGATTGTAACCTATAAAGTCACGCATGGCTTGCAACCACAACACCTGACAGGATGCCTCCCCCAGCTCCGAACCACCTGGACGTGACAATGAAGATCTTGGCCTTCCTCTGAGTGGCACCTCCAAGGGAGGCTTAGTTGGGGCATCAAAGAGAAGGGGCTTTTCAGTGGCACCCCACTTTAAAGCCAACATGGAGCCAATTTTGATATCTTTTTGGTTGCACATTAAGACTGTCCTCCATTACAGGGCATTTGATTAGTTTTACATTATAACTGGGCATTCCTGGGGCATTGCTGAAGAGGTCTTGCAACTCCATTTGTGAAAGCTATTGTAGCTTTTTAAATTTGGCATTAAAAATCTGCACTTTATTTTATGATGATTTTATTGTTTTTTTTTTGTATTGTATTTATCCTCTGTTGTGAACTGCCCAGAGAGTTTCAGTTACTGGGCAGTGTAAAAATATAATTATTAATAATATGCATGGGAAATATAAACTGAATGGATTGGTGATGGATTAGTGATGCCTCTGTGCTCATTTCCTCTTGCTTCAGACACGAAGCAACGATAGGGGAAGGTCTGAAGGGAATGCCATGGCAATATGTGTGGTCAATATCTCAATTTGTGCATCATGTTTCTGCGTAAATGGTCCCCAAATAACTCAAAATAGCTAAATGTTACTTGAATAGCCAAGAAAATGGTGCCTGAAAATAGAAAAAAAAGTTTGCCTCTTGCCTGATCTGCATCACAGATGGACTTCCCTGGACAAGTTTCCAGAGCAGTGGTACCACCACCGAGGAGGCCCCGCTTTGGTTGAACCACAGAGAAAGAACCTGGAGACTGGCTTCACCAACTAACTTCACAGAGAGTCAGTGTGACATAGGGATTCGAGGGTTAAACTAGCGGATCAGGCTTCTAGTCCCCACTGGGCCTTGGAGCTCACTGGGTGACTTTGGGCCAGTTGCCCACCCTCAGCCCAACCTACCTTGCAGAGTTGTTGTTGTGAGGATCAAAGGGAGCCATGTAAGCTATCTTGGTGTCCTCTCAAGAAGAAAAACAAAAACACAGGATAGGAATGCAGTGTATAATTGCAATGCAGTCATAATCATGGGGACATTGGTTATTTTGGGGTGGGTGGGAGGATTCCATGTAAAATGGGGAAGCCAGTAAGTAGAGCTGAGAGTGCTGCCCAGTCCTGGCCCATGTAAGCCCCCAACCTCAGTGCAGGGAGATGCCGCAGCCTCCCCTCCTCCCACAGCCCCAAACCCCCCTTTCCACCTTCTGGGGCCAGTTGTATCCTTGCAGAGGCAGGTGTTGGGGTGGGTGGGGTGGGTGCCCTTGGAACCCCAGCGCTGAGGTTGCGGAATAAACCTCTGGCTCTCCCAATAACACCAGGAGCTCACAGGATTGTGCCCCAAGAGGACTTCCAGATTTAATTTGCATCCTCTGGTACGGGCTGCTTCAGTCCAGGCATAGTGCTCAGGTGCGAGACACACTTAACTAAGTGCACTTGGATGTCACCGCACAGTTAAGTGCAAGCAAAGGATTTGCTTTTTAAAAAGCGAACGATGCAATTCCCCCAGCCAATGCAAATCCCTCAGGTTTTCCATGCTTGCTTATAATTTCAACATTCAGTCAGCCCTGATAACTGTGACCAATTGATTGGAAGTGATGTGAAGCTCTGGATAAATGCAACCAAGCAATCCAATCAAGCTTAATTAGAGTCTGGGTCACCAGGGCTTTGGAGCCCCCATGAAAAGATAATAAGGATGATATTTTTAGACATAGTGAAGAGAACTGCTACCACCCCCATCTGGGATTTCAGGTTTTCAGGGGAAAGTACGGATTTTAATATCCAAGTGTGTTCCAGTTTGAGTTTACGTTGGTCATGTGTGCCCAGCATTTTTAGTCTGATACAGCTAAACAATTATCGAAGAGTGGAAAATGGAAGTGGCGCTTTTTAACCACCAGAGGGCATCCTAAGACTTTCTGTTAGTGATGACTCTTCTAATATCCTCTAATAATATATATTAAGAGTCCTAGAACTTGGGGTTATTCTGGAAGTCCTGTTATCTGGCCTAGCAAGTATGCATAACTGCCATACTCTTCACACACTATACTTACGTTGAGTTTGAAAGCTCTGAACAATGTAACAGAAGAGAAATGAAAAGGAAGGAGAATAGCACAGAAGAATACAATTGCATAGGAATATTGCAAAATGCCCAGGCGGCTTTGGCATCTGGGAAGTGTAGAAATCTTTTAGAAAATGCCACAAGCATGTCTGAATACTTTTACCCCGCTCTGTGTGTCATGCAAAACACAGCTGAGAGTGTAGGATTGTTTCAGAAGCCCCATTGCTGAAAGAGAAATTCCACATCTGAAATACAAATTTTGCATACTGAGTGTGAAATTTGACTCTGGCATTGAAAGTCCGGTGGGCATTTTGTGGTTGTTTTCAACAACCTACCAAGGTCATCCGAGGGGGGATGGGCAAAGTGGAGTCACGAGGGTCACCAGAGTAAGCGGCATCCTCCCTTCTCAGGTCACATCGGCAGAAGAGAAAGGAGATCTCTCATGGCAACAGAGAAACTCCCGAAGGGCAGCTGCTGGCCAGCAGCAGGAGCTGAAGCTGTGGCTGTTGTGCTTCAGATGCATCATGAGAAGCAGGACTCTGGAGAAGACAATCGTGCTGGTAAACGTCAAGGGCAGGAAGAAAGGGGAGGCTAACTACGGATCTGTTTGTGGTTGCCTTGTGCCATCATGTTGTCTCCAGGTTATGGCGACCCTCCAACTGGAAGCCCTCCGAAATGTCATACCCACGACAGCCCTGCTCAGGCCTTCCAAAGTCAAGGCTGGGAGTCCATCCATCTCTTCCTGTATGGAGTCC